TCAGAAGTGGGGTGCACACACCTAAGCCTGCATACTACCAGTTACAGCCCTGCATGTTAGCTGTCCTGCAAATCATCCTGAATTACACCAGTGAAAATAAGGGAAAACCTATACATGCCTGTACTGAACCTGAGGTCTGAGGCAGAACTGAGTCATAAATGCTGGCTGAGGGGGAACAACCACAGCTGTAAAGGCCTTGTTCGAGAATGAGAAGGAGAAAGAGCCATTAATCTGTGTGAGACAGAACTCATTTCCCTATCATCTTGGAGCAACCCTGCTGTGGAGTGTTACGTTTTGTTTTTCTTAAGACTGTTCTTTATTCATGAGCGAACTGGGCAAGGAAGACCAGTTGAGTAAAAGCCACTAAATAATTTGTCGGGCTGAGTTGTCCTTTGCCCCAACAGGCACTCCTAAGCTTTGTATCCCTCACCCGTAGAGTTCGGCTACATACAAACCACCTGCAAAGCCGCCTTTGCGCTAACCTGCCAACCACATCAAACCGTAACTTCCGTCGCCAGTGGGGGTAGGCAGCGAGAAGAGAAGCTATCAGGAAAAGGTTATCAGGTGAGCCATTCATTTCATAAACAGGGGCTTACAACTACTGAACGTTCTACAGCATCAGCTTTGGTTCAGTTGGATATGGGATGTTGTTTATTTGATTTCTGGATTAAAAGCATGATTTAAAATACACATTAGAGAACCCAGGATTATTAAAGCTACAACATACTTCATCAGTGTGGAATGTGCTAATGGCTTGCACATACGTTAAGGGTTTTTTTGAAGGCGTTATCACTAGGGACATAGTAGCTACTCCCTTCGCCCACCTATAGACATTCTCTAAACATATATATTCATTTTAATTTACCAGAGAAGTAGAGAAAGAAGAGATAGCTCTGCCTGCACAAGTAGAAAAGACGGACAAAATAAAAATGAAGATGTGCATTTTATATTTGTCTCCTTCTAACATCAAACTTTTTTCTTAAAAAGAAAAGAAATTGTATTCTGTGGAAAGTGGGACAACAGCCTGTATTTTAACACAGAAAAGCTAATTAATTCTTTGTGAAACAACACAGAAGTCAGTGGCACTATACCAGAGATGAATTTTACCCAGGCTGTAAAAAGAAAACATAAGTGCAACACAGACCAACAGAAAAGATCCCATTTAGAGTAAGAATTATGTTTCTGTCAGAAAAAAAACAACTAACTAAATTTATTTCCTGGAAGGAGATCCAACTTGGCTCTGCTGCAACAGTGTAAAAGGATCCAAAATAAGTAACAGCAGGCATCTCTGCTAAAATTTGCTTCTGATCACATTATTTTTTCTCTAGTACCAGAGAAGAGTTGAACACATACTGGAAGTGAGGTACAGTAGTTTATTGCACAGAACATGAGAAAGAGGGCTAAAGCTCTGCCATTCAAAATTCTGCTCAGCCAGGGAGTCAGTACGTGGTCTTGAACAAACCACATGCACTTTCTGGGGTTAATTCTCACTTAAATGCTTTCTATTTCAGGCATATAAACTCAAATTGGAGGGGGCGGAATAGTCTTAATTACAACCATGTTTTGTATCTGCTTCCCCACACATTAAGATGTGAGGTCAGATCTTTCACTGCAGAGATGTTAGCAACACTGAGGAGCTATCAGTTCCCTGAAGTACCAGTACCTTACTAAATCCAACTGATGAGTAGTTACACAAAAGCAGGAACTTTATATTAAGCTGTAGTGGTGGTAGTCTGTATATACCAGCACACATTAATAAATGAAGAGTAAAGCACCATAATCACAATCTGTGCATCTGTGTCTGCTTTATGGTATCCTGAAAATGTTTCTAAAGTAGTTGGAATACAGAAAGCAAAAATTATCATTCCTTTCCAGCTGGTCTCATGTGAAATGCTATCTGACTGTGACTGGCAGATTTGGTATTTTGTTAATTGTGAGAGACCCCACTTTGAATAATGTACAAACATTTGTTATGATCAGTGAATATTTCCTTTCACATCACATTTTCTCCATACATAAACTTATCCTAATCCAATAAAAAGCCTATGTGAGCAAGACTTCTCCATGCAGCCTTTTCTCTACATGGGTGAAAGACTGGCTCTTTTTACTACACAATGTTCATGCAATTTTTCATTTCTGCCTGAGATCTGCAATGAATGGAAGTCTTCTTCATGCAAAATCATTTGTTCTCAGGGTGTTCCAAACCCAAGGTTTCATTCAGAGACATCTAGTAAGATGCATTTCCCAGAAACCAGCAACAAGGCACTAGACATGAGGAAATTGTTAATTAAAAAGAAATACCAAACCCCAACCAGGGAACTATGCTGATGTGACAAATGAAATTGGTATGGGGAAAAAAAAGAATAACCAAAAGCCAACAGAGTCCTAAAGTTTCACAGTAATTTGTCTTTTAAAAATTAGATGTACACCAAATTTACGTTAAGTCAGTGTTTCTAAGGGACAGAGCAACACATAAGGTCCAAACATGACTTAAATCCAGAAGAATTCCACTGAAATCAATGGTTGTAGCAGTGCAAATCAGCAAGAGATCTAAATCTGTCCTAGCTGATTCCAGATCTATCTTTTATTTGCTATATGGCTTCAGGCAAGTCAGTGACCTTCTTTTTATTTCTCAGTTTCTCCATCCGTAAAATGGTGATAATATTGCTTGTAATACATGAAGACTGGGGGGACTAGTTAGCTCCCTAACATGGTCTGGATATGGAAATTCCTGAAGATCAATCATTTTTAGTCGCCTCCATGACCTTTATTGACTCTTTATAATCTTAATACTTAGTTTTTTCTTGCTTGCATGTTTCTCTTTTAACAACCACAAGCCATAGCCTGGAATCCTTATTCAAGTTTTATGCTGTTTACTTCTGTGGCAGGATTCACATGAGAAAACCGAGTGCGAGATTTGGAACTTGGCCCCAACAACAACAAACTGTGAGGATATTTCAAACAAAACTCATAAATTACTGCATGAAATTAATCACATTTACATTATTTTAATAGCACAGCTTATTAACTGACCCACCGATGCCCAAAAAACAAGGGCACAAACAAAAAAGTCGCAAATCTTTCTCCACCCTTATTTGTATAATGTACACTGCGCTGGCATTTCAAGGAACAGTCGATTTTGTTCAAACAGGTCAAGTGGGGAAAAATAAATAATAAAGAACAACCCAACCTGAAAACACCCTAACGTCTGACAGCTCTGAGAGGGACCTCTAGTGTGTGCTAGAACATTTTGTGTTGTGCTTCGGGCGCAATTAATACACCAAAATCACCGCAGTCATTTTGAATAGGCGAGGGTAAATTTCGTCAAGCGCCTCCGACCCATGGGGCCTGCATCCTTCCGCGGGCCGAGCATCCTTCCGCGGGCGCTGCCGAACCCAACCCTCAACTATTAAACTGACACTTTTTTTCTTTCTTTCTTTCTTCTTTTTCCCCTGGCCTCGGCGTGCGCAAGGAACCAACTTCCCTGGGTCATCCCGGAGTTTCCCCACTCCGCACGCCCGCAGCGCCCAGCCCCCTTCCACGGCCCCCGGCTCCCGGCTCCGGCCGCTCGGGGGAGGATGGAGCTGGAAAGTTGCCTTTCCTCCGGGCTCGTGGCTGGGAACAACAATAACTCGAGCCGCCAGCCCCAGAGCCCGCCCGGTGCTGCCCCCTCCCCGCACACCGGGCGATGCCCGCGGCGCCCCGGGCGACGCTGCCCCTTCCCTTCCCTCCCGCGTCGGGAGGAGCCGCGGTCCCTCGGCAGCCCCCGCCGCTCAGGAGAGAGAGAGAGAGAGAGAGGGGAGTGTTTCGCCCATCTTTAATTCTCTCGAGCAGTCCGAGCACGCTCGGTGCCCGTGGGGCACGCTCACATAAACTTGTACCGCGCTGATTGGAAACAGGCGGCGGGCGCCTTTTTC